AGGAATATATTCCTATCCTAAGTCTGTATTCGTAGGAGTAACATTCAAAATATTCATAAGCCGTAATGCGGTGGTTCAAACTGTCATTTATTCAAACCGTGGACTAATTGTGGACCTTCTTCACCCCACACTGACGCCTTCACAACTGTTTTTCTCGTGGCACGACAAAACCGCGGTCCACTAAAGCGCGCCCAATTAAAGCGCATACCTGACATCAGCAGTAGCGCGACAACAACGACCGCGGAGAAAAAAGGGCGCTTTAAAAAGCGCTTTGAAAGCAAGCCGATTCACGTTAACACGTTAAGGTAAGGGTTAGGTTTAGGGTTAGGGTTAGGTTTAGAATTAGGTTAAGGGTTAGCGTTAGGTTTAGCGTTAAGGGTTAGGGTTAGGTTAAGGGTTAGGTTTAGGATTAGGTTTAGGGTTAGGTTTCGGGGGGTTACGTTTAGGTTTAGGGGTTAATTTTAACTTTAGCGCTCACAGCGTGCTTTTTTTTTCGCACTGTGATGACGTCAGGTACGCGGTTTCGTCGAACACGCTTTAGTCGACTGCGGTTTTGTGGTGGAACCCTTTAAAATACAGAGTTCCCCAGCATTGCTTTAGGACCCTCCAATACAGAAACTGTGGTTACTCATCCTAAATTGAATCCTCATTATCTGGAGCTTCAAAATTTGCTGTTTGCTGGGAAGATGTGTAGCTAAAAGTCAGTCTACATTTAGTGCACATCTGACTTTGGGGATATTTCTTCATAGCCAAGCAAATGTGCATTTCTTGTGCAGTTCACACCCCTTGCTTGATGAATCTGGATGTCACGAAGCAAAGCTCACATTTTGTAATTAACCCCCCTCGCCCCGTGTTGGCTGGCAGAGTGCTGCAGGAAACAGTGTGCTGTCACACCCACTGGCCACGCCCCTGGCCACGCCCACTCAGCCAGTCATTAGGGGCAGAGAACCAGTTGTTAAAAAATTTGCAGCCCACCACTGAATCTATTGTAATTTCAAATGATCACTATGCAACCAGTCATTAAGCAAGGACTACTTACTGTATCAGAGAAGAATCCCAAATCCCTCGGTTAGATGCTAAGCTAAATGAAAGGTCTGGACTCACCCGGGAGCTGCTTTGTTAGCGGCCTCCACTGCGTTATGGATGTCCTTCACGTTCCCGTCTGCCACGAGGGCCGCTGCTTTGCCTGCGTGGTCAAGGACGGTTCGGGAACTCAAGGAATCTGGTCTCTTCCGAGCACCGCCATAGTACAACTTGTAGGTTTGGTCCATGCTGTGGAAGGGAGGGAGGAAGGAAAAAGGAAGAGAGGAAGGAAAAGGAAAGAAAAGGGAGGGAGGGAGGAGAAACTGTAATAGAGCTTTTGCCTCGTTTTTTTGAATTCATTTCAAAACAAAGCTGAAAAGGCCACACATTCTGGGTGCCTGGATTTTATAGATAGGCTGAGACTTCCCGAGGATGAGATTCTCTAGAATAGGATAGGCTGCAAAATGTCTGGATATTAGACAAAGTCCTTCTTTAAGCTTAGTTCTATAGAATAGAATAAGAATAGAATAAGAATAGAATAAGAATAGAATAGGAATTCTTTATTGGCCAAGTGTGATTGGACGCACAAGGAATTTGTCTTTGGTGCATATGCTCT